CCTGAAAATAAGACAGTATTTTAATTAAAGGCTGAATTTTTAGTTGCAAAAAAGGTGTGGGGGAAAAAGCCAAAAAGGGGCAGAAATAGGTGCAAAAATTTACATTTCAGAAAATACAATTGGTTTCATTCAAATAAAAATCTGTTGTAGTACATGATATTTTTCATTTCAATGTGTTTTTCTGTAAAATTCATTTGCTTGTCTTCTAACAAATGTTTTATATGGAGAAAGATCTTTCTACTTCTACAGAAACAAGTGGAGCAAACCGTGTTTTAATTCTCTAGTTCACGTCTTTGCAATGAACAAATTCTTGAATATCTAGGTGCTCAAGCTTTTCTTTTGCAAAGAACAGTCTAGAGTTTAACTATTCCCCACTGATATTTCATGATATTTCCAGTTGTTTCCAAACTTTTTATTGCTTCTACTAAGAGCTTAAATGTGTGTACTACATAATGTTTCTCTTCCAATTTTTGGTCTTTTATGACCTGTTGAATTTTATATATGGTAGGAGTTTCTAGCCACAACTGTTTAAAAAATTCTAAAATCTGAAAATTTTCACAATGAAACACCACAGCATTTATCCAAGTTCCCCAGAGAATTACTATCGAAACAGGTGGAAGAGACAGATTAGTAATGTCTTTGTATTGCTGAACTCTTGCTGGGCACTTTAGCAGATTTTTTTTCATTTTAGACATATATAAATTTACTAGAGTATTCATTGCAAATACATTCATGCACACTATGAATAGCATGGGCTAAACAAGTAACATGTTTCATATTTGGGTATATTTCTTTCAAATTGTTAAAAGCAAGAATGATGTATGATGCTTGGTTTGAAAGAATGAGAATCACATCATCATATCGAATTCCATCTGGCCAAAGCTTCAAGCAGACATTGTTGAAAGGGCATGAAGATAGTTTTGTTAGTTTTTTCAAAAAATATGTTTTCAGCAACATATAGTCACCAGTAATTCTTTCTAACAGTACTTTCATCTGGTAAATTTCTTTTCAATATATTTTTCAAGATAATTTTTAAATACAGGTTGATTGAGTTTTGATAATGGAATTCCTATCCTGATAAATGTTTCAGCAGTATCAATAAAAAGTTAATTCTTTGCAGAACTGACTGCATTTTGCGAGACCTGTCCAATAAATTGTTGGTCTTGATGAAGTTTCTTTCAAGTATTTGTTCTCTTGATGTTTTGCACTTCTTATATGTTGCTGGATAGACTTTTGACGTTTTTCATTGACATTTATTGTCACATCGCAGACATTGCACTGAATAACTTTTCTATCAAAAATAATTTTTTCACTTTTAAATTCTTGCAAAATCTCACAAAGTTTGCCTATAGTCAGTCTTTTTGCCATTTTTCCACTCTCCAGTTTCTTCACTAATGGAAATTTTGAATTTTCTTTCTACAAAGAGCCATCTGGTTTTAACAATAGATTTGCACTAAATATATGTGGGGGTTAGATAAGTGAAATTCCTATACTGTTAAGAAACTAAATGACGAAGTGCAGAGGAAAAGCAGACAAGAGGAGAGGAATGACAATGACAATGGCAGTTGAGAAAGGCAGGAAAAGACAATCGTAGATGATGTTGAAACAAACACAAGAATTAAGGAAGTTTTCACCTATTTTGTCGATGATTATAATTATACTATACATTCTTTCATTGTTCTATTTCCTACATATATGAAAGTTTCCAATTAGAATATTTTTGATAGTATCCATAATTTTATAGCATTTATAATGAAGAAAATCTCTAGTAAATTGCTTTTTAATAATTGTTTCTGTCAAATATTTCTATTTAATGTTTTTATTAGCTATGTATGTACATCACTCCTTCAAACAAAATTGCAATTCTCTAATTACATTAGAACTCAAGTTTCACTAAACTTTGACTTCTCCTCTCACTAACTGTTAATCTTTCACTGAGCATGGTGTGAATGCTTCAGTGCTGATAGTGATCATATTATCTCTGGAATTGTCATTTAAGTGCAAATATAGAAAGAATAAGTGCAAAAAGTGCTAAACATTATAACAGGTGAAAAAATGGCAACACTAGACCCCCACTATCACTTGATATACATTAATGTATGATATTTATACTTTAATTTAGATAGTTTTTAACACTCCCTAAAATAAAAAAAGGTGCATCATTTAAAAATCCAGCCTTTAATTATAATATAGCTATTCCTAATCTGACTCCTAAGTTGAATAATTTAAGTGATGGTAAATGTTCATAATTAAATTTAATAAGCAAAATTGCACAAGCAGAAAAATATACACTGCTGATAATTTCACCTATAACATTGTTGATAATTCCATGTTATGTGAATTCCATGTTGTATGAGTCACTTAGATTTTACAAATACAGTAGAACCTCGATTATCCAGATTGTTCAAAATAAACAAAAATTTTACGAATTTGCTGATTTGCACTTGGCGAATTACGACACTGTTTATGTACGTGATGGAATGCATAATATTTTTTGTTTCAACAACGTCTCACCCGGCACAGTGGTCGTAAACTCTTAAATATATTTTGCGTTGTAATAAAAATATAACTTGACATACGTATTTATAAATAATTTATACTCAAATTACATCATTTCTATAACCAAGGTCAGCGTAAGGCATGGGCAAGTGGGCCACCATCTATGCCTCGCGGTCCAAAGGGCCTCGCGCCTCGAAGGTTTATGCATTACTTAAAAGCCNAAAAAAAAAAAAAAAAAAAAAAAAAAAAAAAAAAAAAAAAAAAAAAAAAAAAAAAAAAAAAACACATAACAAAAATAATATTGGAGTAGCCCAAGACAGCCAAATATTGCAGCGCCACAGTACTAACGGAAATTTAAATTTGCCGACCGGAATGCTTTCGGTTAACTAATGTTTCGGTTGATTGCTATTTGGATAATTGATGCTCTACTGTATATGTAAAAAGCACTCTAGTGCTACTTTGGTTTTGCTTATCTGGGATGGTGCAAAACATTGTGATGCATCACAATGTTTTGCAGCATCCCAGTTGAAAATCACTGGGTTAGCTGAATGGAGTTTTCTTCACATGTCTAGCAACTAAAGCGGAACCAGTTTACCATAGAAAGTTCTCCCAGGAGGCATCCCACCCCCTGGCATATTATCCTTGTGTTGTATTGTCTTATCCCATCAAATAAAAATCATCAAGTTCTGGAATATGAAGAAATTAAAATACAAGTTATGTGGATATTAAGCATGTGACAGAACAAAAATAAATATATGAACATTAATATAAACATAAATGAATGAATAAATAAACACAAATGAAGAAATGAAAAATAAAATAAATAAATAAATGTAAAGCTAACAATAAAAGAGATAAAATATGAGGATAAATAAATGCACAAAAAAAAATAAATAAATGAAATAACATGTATAAAAGGAAACAAATGCAAAAATAAAAATTGAAATTAAATGATCAAAATTGATGTTCAGAGCTATTTAAGAGCAAATCTCCAGGTATTGGCAGTGTGTATGCATCCATATTACTGACACATTATTTCCTAGTTTATATATCTCTAACATTTCCCCAACTTTGGTTAAATCAGGATTCTGGGCATATTTAATAATCCAGACCTTGTTCATGAAACAGTATTTTCTTGAATAGATGCAAACATTGAAAACATAACTGAGAATATAATATGTTCCGTTCAATCTCATATGCACATTCTTTAAAACGGTTAAAAATATTAGTTCATTAAAACTTATGCTGAATTACAAAGGCTTTTATCTTTTATTTTAACTGTTTTATCCAGTTGGTTTGATTTCATCTTCAAATATAGTATTCAGTACATAATATAGTACATGCATCTCAAAATATTTTCCTTAAAAATAAATCATAATCTGTTGTAAACTTTAGTGGTTTTTTGCCTGTTAACTCTATAGTGAACATAACAATTTCAATATTATATCAATAAATTGAAGATTACAAATTTTACACATCAATTAATTAGAAAAAAATCATAAAATTACAAAATACTACAAAAAATTGAAATATTAACTAAATTATTACTCGTACTTTTAAAAACAAACTAAAAACAAATAAAATGATCACAATTTTACAGTAAGAAGAGCTAATACGCAGAATATAAATTAATATAATTATACAGGTAAAATATAACTTTATAGTAATCAGAAAGTCTAATTAAAAATAGGATAACTGTCATTTAAATTAATAAAAATTGTATTATTAACTAAAAAATATTGAAATTAAATAAGCTCTCTGAGATTATATACAGATAATGATAAAAAATATATTATTCTACATGTATGTTAATTCTAGTGTAATTATACTATTTAATAAAAATTATAAACAACTTAATTCATATTTAATTATTTTTTAAAATTTTTATTTGACTGTATCTATTTCAAAATGTTAACAAATTCTTTTGTAAATTATTAGATATCCATATTGAAGAAAGATGTTACAAAAATTTGAGATAAAAGAAAATGATAAGATAATGATTAAATGTATTATTATATTATATAATAATTTATGTTCATTGCATCAATATACCTAATAAAATATAATCTTGATACATATCTGAAATAAATTGTATTTCCCAATTATGTAATATTTCTTAAATATTAAACATAAATTTAAAACTTCTATTTATAAAAATTGTTTACGGTTATGAATTTCGTCTTTTAATATTAATTATAATAATTTGATATTTTATGTCTCTATTTCATAACAATAATAAATTTACATCTTTTATTAATGCTCGGATTATTTTTTTACACCTTTTAAATATTGTCTAGATAAGAATTGTATCCAGAGTTAAAATAACTCTTATAAATTTCATATATAAATGAATTATCAGTAGTTAAAGTAATCTTTCTTTGCAAAACTAAGCAACTATTTGTTGCATATTTTGTTTAATTCTGCAAAGAAAAACTTTAATGAGAAGTTTGCATAAAAGTAAATATATTAAGTTATGATATTTTAGATACGTAACAACTTACCATTACTTGACTTAAGATCTCTATGAATTAAAGAAACTGGTGCTTCTGAATGTAAGTAGTTCATGCCACGTGCAATTTGTATAGCCCAATTTACTAAAACATTAGGTGGTATATTACGACCACTGAGCACCCTATTGAGCGGACCTCCTCTCGCGTATTCCATAATCAAGCATAAATTAGGTTCTTCTAGACAAACACCTTTTAATGTTACTATGTTGGGATGTTTAAGCAGCCAAAACAACTTTGCTTCTTGTCTAACATTCTCAATGGTTACACTAATATCTTCATCGGGATCTTGCCTCGCAGCTTTGACTGCAACTTCTTCACCACGCCAGTAACCTCGATAGACTTTACCAAATCCACCGACACCTATTACCTCTTCTAATTCAAACTCCGAGAATTTAATTTCAAATGGTCGTACATTCACATTATCTTTTCGTGTGACGAAGTTACTAGGAAATATCCCAACTTTGTCTCCGATTTTACCTGTCCACCATCCTTCGTCGCCGGATATCTTGGCATCTTTCGATAGAACTTCTACTTGTACACCCCTTTTTAACGATAGTTCATCCTCACCAGAAGCCTCATAGTCATAGACGGCCGTCCACAACCTGTCATGTTCGTTCATAACAGTCTGGGATTCCTTGGACATGATAGGCATCAGGGAATCGATTCATTTGAGTTCGTAAGTCTATAAAATAAATCGGCCATACTGTATTCATTTCTTGTAGAAATTAATAAATCGTTTCGTTATATGATAACAAAATATATACAACCGATAACGCACTTACCTTCTCCGATTGACGGCAAAACAACGGAGGTCCGCCATCTTAGGTCCTACGACCTTCTCAGCGAACTCAGGGTGTGACGAGGATTTTCATTCACTCATTAATAATTATTAATATATTCAATAATTTATATTATTTATTAATTATTTGCGTAAATAAATATTATTATACAATTTTGTAAAAGTTTTTTTTTTATCGTTACAAGTAACTTAAGTACGCTTATAATAATAATAATCGTAACGGATTTTATTACATTTATAAATTACATATATTACTTCGATAATAATAACATTTTATATGAATAATTTGTTTCTCTAAAAATCTGACACATCACACCAGGGGGAGTTAACTTAACATCAACATGGCAACTTGCAACTTCTTTGCCAACATCTACAATTGTATCCGTTTAACTTTAATATAGATATGTATATACACGCGATGTTTATAAGCATGTTTTATTAATAAAATATTTAAAAATGGGATCCCAGACACTGGAAATATTACGTCAAGGTGTATGGGCCTCTTTCACTGGTGGCTGGTTTTATGACCCAAGACAAGATCATTTTTCTAACATTTTTCATCTTTATCTTTGGATTCTGCTTTTGTGTTTACCATTTGCCTTGTATATGGTGAGTATGTATTCAAATTATATGTCTGTATAAACGTTTACTTTTATATAATTATGATTTATATTTTACAATGTTAACTTAACATCAACATGGCAACTTGCAACTTCTTTGCCAACATCTACAATTGTATCCGTTTAACTTTAATATAGATATGTATATACACGCGATGTTTATAAGCATGTTTTATTAATAAAATATTTAAAAATGGGATCCCAGACACTGGAAATATTACGTCAAGGTGTATGGGCCTCTTTCACTGGTGGCTGGTTTTATGACCCAAGACAAGATCATTTTTCTAACATTTTTCATCTTTATCTTTGGATTCTGCTTTTGTGTTTACCATTTGCCTTGTATATGGTGAGTATGTATTCAAATTATATGTCTGTATAAACGTTTACTTTTATATAATTATGATTTATATTTTACAATGTTAACTTAACATCAACATGGCAACTTGCAACTTCTTTGCCAACATCTACAATTGTATCCGTTTAACTTTAATATAGATATGTATATACACGCGATGTTTATAAGCATGTTTTATTAATAAAATATTTAAAAA